GGAGCTCTGAGCAATCATACAGCTCTTGTACATAAAGCACAACTCCCCCCTCCTCTTCTAACCTGCCTGTCCTTCCTGAATAGTTTATACCTATCTATGACTGGAACACTCATGTGAGCTATCGTAGTCTCAGTTATCCCAGTCAGATTGTACCTCTGTGACTGTGAGGTGCCTTCCAATTCTTCATGTTTATTTCCCAAGCTCCATGCATTTGTGTTCAGACACCTGAGATAACTAACTAGTCAACTGCCCTACTTTCTCAGGAAGACAGAGAAGGCCTCCCCATCCTGCTTGTGCTTCTTCCACATCAGCAACTTTCCCACATATCTCAGGGCTTTGGTCTCCATCCCCTGGCAGACTTACTTTAAAGCCCTCCTCACTAAGTTTGTGAGTCTGTCTGTGTAGATGTTCTTCCCTCTCTTCATCAGGTGCATCCCAGCTCTTCCTAGCAATCCTTCTTCTTGGAACCCTGTGGTCAAAGAAGGCAAAGCCTTGCTGGCAACACCATCTGTGCAGCTGTGCATTGATCTGCAGGATGCACCCCCTCCTGCCAGGCCCCTTCTCCCTGACAAAAAGTGTCTCCTGGCAGTATCACTGGTGCCCACATGGATAAGCAGCATGGGGTAGTAGTCAGAGGGCTGGATAAATTTTGATAATCCCTCCATGACATCTCAGATCTGGGCTCTGGGCAAGCAGCAGAGCTCCTAAGACAACAGGTCAGGCTGGCAGATAGATGCCTCCATCCCCCACATAAGGCAGTCTCCAACTACCACCACCCATTGCTTCTTCTTGGTGGTTTTAGTCTTAATCCTTCCAAACTTGGGGAGGCCTGTCCTGTCCGAGTCCACCAATGGAACATGCTCCTCCTCCTCTGTTGCTAGATGCACTGGCTGACCACTTTTCCAGACTCTAGGCTGAAGGTGGTAAATAGTAGAATAATGAAATGTACCTGATTAAATACTGTCAGCTGAACTCTTGCTTTCACGTGTTTGTGGGAGGAGGGGAGGAATGTGCAAGGTGGGTAGATTATGGGGCTGGGGAGTTGTAAATTTTCAACTGATTGCTGAGCTGTGTTCTTGGGGATGTTGAGGGAGGGAGGGAAGGGAGCTGATGAGAGCTTGGACTGTTTGAGGCTGTAGGCTCTACACAGAGACCCAGGAGGAGGGAGATAGACAGGGAAGGAGGAACTGTTTCAGCTCTCTGTGTCCAGCTCATCCTTGCCCAGTTTTTTTTAAGTGATATAGCCATAATTTTGAAAACAGGCAGATCTTTTATTAAACAGAATAGAATGTGGAAACAGGAGCACAAATAAGTAAACAGCTGTAACAAAGTAAACAGATACAATATTTTTAAAAAGCAATAATCTTAATGATGTTTATAATGAAACCTTTTACTCCCCACAGGCCCGGTGGTGTGTCTTCAGATGGCAGCAGCCACTGCTGAAAAATTGTTTAGGCCATGGGGCCCACCTACCTGAAGGCTAGTGGGTGCTTACTCATATTTCTGCCAAGGGGAACACCTGTGGAACAGTGAAGCCCAGTGGCAGCATGTACCCACAGGAGCAACTAGACAGACCCACTTGCGGGTTAAATTGTGGGGTGATGTGGAGAGCACCAGGATGCTCTCTGTAGGTTCAAGGCAGACATGAGGCAATCCACAGACTCCTGCTTGAGCCTCACAGGCTCCCTAAGCATCTCGTTTATGCACTTAGAAATGTCTGTGTAGTGCTCCTCAGCCTCTTTATGCCACCTGGGAAGACACACAGCAGAGCAATATGACTCCTTGATCCCCTGCCTGACAGTGGCCAAACACTGGAGGTGCTGCATTAGCTCTTCTTCCCTCTACTGCCTGCCCTCTGAGACCCAGGAGTGGCTGACCTCTGCCAGAGAAGCCAGCAAGTCCATCTTTGTGCAGACCCGGGTTTACCTCTGCCTGGAAGCTTTCCGGGCACCAGTCTCTGACCTCATCCTTGGTTCATTATCTGGTTCCAAGGTGCCATTGCCACCACTTGCAGGTGTCTGGCCTGAAAGTAGAGAAGGATGACTAGAAGCTCATTGTTTTCCTTGCTGTTGCCTGATTGAATGAAGAACTTTTCTGCAAAAGTTGGAACTTGCAAGGCCACCCAGCCAGTGGGCAGGTTCATTCACCTAGCAGACTCTCAACATGGTAAGTTTGCTCTCCTTTGGGCTCCCTAGGGATCTGCAGAAGCAGAAAGTGTGTTTGGACAGCCACAGGAGAACAACTAAGGGGTTCAGCAAGGGCCACTATGGTACAGCCTGGGCCTCTAGCTCCCATGAGGCCTATGAAACACAGCAGGCCAGTTGAGTGGGGTAGGGGAAATCTGCTGAGCATGGTCTGTTTACCTGGAACCCCCTACTGCCCCTTCTCTATAACTGCAGGTTGGCACCCTCACCAATGCCATCCTGATCCATCTGAGCCCACAGCGGAGATGGCACCTGTTCGTTGCTGTGCATGGCAGTCCAGTGGTATTTGCTTGTCTCTTGCTACAAGAGATGATTGTCTCTGATGACTTTGACTCATGGGTGAACGTGCTACAATGGCTCTCCAGTGTGTTTCACTCTTCCTAGAATGTCAGGAAACACCTGATGGTGTCCTTTACTACCCACTACAACCACCCTGCACAGTCCAACAAAGGCATGTCTCTAGCCTGCCTGTCAGCCAACAAACCACAAGGGCTTCAGAAATGGAGCTGCTGCACCACTGAAAATGCACGGCTTAAGCAAACATCCCCTCTCCCACCCACTCCTGCCTTAAGGGGAAGATAAGAACAGCCTACTTGTACAAGCTATAGAGGGTGTGTGGAAGGATTGTGGGGTGGAGGGAGCCCCCAAAATGTTTCAGGGTTGGAGAATCTGCCACCTCCACCTCCCATTCTCTTCCTTCACATCTCATATAGATTCAGGGCCTCTGGTTCACCCTGTGAACCACCTTCTTCCCCTGAGTTCACTAGGATGGGGGACCAGAGGGAGCCTGAACTGATATTTGTGGCTGGCAGCATTTAGAAGAGTCCAGGACAGTAAAAGCAATGCTGGAGCCAGTTACAGGGGAACCTGAATTCCCATGGTGGTCTGCACCAATTCACCAAGCAGCAGGCCTGATGATTTAAAAGCTGCTTGCTTTATCCTTTCCCTGCTTCTGACTTGCAATTCACTGACTGTAATAAACTGCCTTTGTCTCCCCTTAATACCTTGTCTGCATGGGTGTCAACTGCTTGAATT